CTGTTTGAGCTCTTCCTAGGTTTTAGGCAGAAGCAAAAGCAAATGGCCTTGCAGCCATACAAGGACTTAAGAGTTGGTCCTTTGTAGTCTGTAGCTGTCCCTTTGATGTAGATATCCCTTCCTGCAGGACAAACTTTTATAATTTCCAGCACTATGGATTCCCAAGACGCCTCCAGCTTTTATTAGCTCCTTGTCATGGGGGACAGCAGTGAAGATCTTGTCTAACATCAGGAACAGAGGCAGCAGCTGCCCTTCCAGCCCCAGCTACATGCACCCTTGGACCTCATGAGAAGGTCTGGGACCTCTCCCGAGGTCCATCACCACAGGCAACTAGCAGATGCCTTGCTCCCATCTGGAGCAAGGGGGTAAAAGCACCTGCCTGAGCACCTGTGGATTAGGTCCTCCCCAACAAAACCTCTAAGGGGGCAGCACTCAGGGCCCCAGGCAGTGCTGGCACCCAGAACCCACCACAATATGGCAGTGCTAGGAACACCACCAGCACCATGCAGGAAACAGGCAGGGATGGCCATGGGGTGGGAGCAGGGAGCATGGTGTGGCATGCTGGTCTGGGGTCAGCTCAAGGCTGCTGAGAGCAGCTGTGCAATCAGTACTGCTGTCCTGCTTCCTCTCACACACCACCAGCGTGACCGGAGGGATCTATAACCAGGAAACTCGGTAAGAACAGGGTTTAAGTTCTGCCTTCTGTAATCGGAGAGTTTTCAGGACATTTCTGGGAGTGTCGTAGTGTTTTCCTACTCCATTCACCTCAGCCACAAGGCTGCTTTGAAACTGTGAGGTTTCTCCCTTTGGCACCCAGCAGTGCTGACACAGCACAGGCTGGCACAGAGGCCCAGGGGAGGTCGAGGCTGCAGCAGCATCCGCATGCGGATGCCCTCACTGTGCCCTGACAGAGAGCTCTGCTGTGCCCCCACGCAGCCTGGACTGCTCATGCCTGCTCAGGAGGCTGACCCGCAGCAAGCTGTGCTATTCTTCCCATCACTCAGACCCATCGCAGCTGGGACTGCGGCTATGCCACTCCCTGGGCCAGGCACACACCTCATGCATGCCCTGGGGAGAACAGGGACTTTGCCTGCCAGCCTAATAGCTGCCTTGCTGGCTGCATTTGCAACGCTTGCCTGCATGTTTCTTAGTCGGGCTAAGAGCACAGCAGGGCCCATACTTCTCAGTTTGGCCAGAATCTCACATGGAAGGCCCAGTGCAACATAAATATTTATACAGAGCATCATCACCTGCCCTCTGCAGCCTGGTGAACAGGACATTGCCAGCATGCCTGAGTAGCTGAAATGCTGCAGTGGACAACAGGATTTTTAATTAAGGTTATGATTCTGCAGAAACACTCCTTGCATGGAAAGCCTTTTGGACCAGGCAAAGTTCAGATGCAGATTTTAATCTTTTCATCAAAACCATTCTCACTGACACAGGAGCTCTCAGTCTTGGCCGTGGCATGGATCCTGTGCAGGCAGACACATAAGCAGGCCTATGTCTGTGCTGGGAAGAGGCTCTGCCTGCAGGCCAGCATGCAAGCATCAGTCTGGCAGGAGGCATCCAGTGCTGACATGGAAAGCCTACCAGCGTCTACAAGCCTAGTGCATAGTACCAGTGTCCCCAACAACCCTGGCAGCCTCTTGTGGGCTGAAGCTCTGCCTGTGGCCCTGTCCACAGAGGTGTTGACCGTACCCTGTGTTACACATTGGATCCAAAAGCCACAGGAGGCACAACACTCCTGACTCACGAACAGAGTGCCGCTTCCCCCACTGCTGCTGGAGAGAAGTAAACCTGATACCAACAGCCTCGGACATCAGACCAACTCCTGCCACTTCCCCCTCCACACCCCGAACCCCTGCAGGGCACGGTGGGGAAATGGATCTGCAGAGGGATCCACACACAGCTTCAGCAGGAGCTACCACTCTCAGGCCACTCCAACCCACCCTGGGCAACCCCAAAGGACAGGCCGGCCCCAGGCTGCATAACAGTTAAACCCCACCATTTGCCTTGCAGGAGGGCCAGGAGATCCTGTTGCTCAGAGAAATGAGTTTGTCCAAGACAAACAGTGGCCGGGCATTGTTTCAGCATGAGTCAAACAAATGGAAATGCTCCTGTGCCATCCTGTTTTGCTGTCTGGAGGTTTCCCCCTACCTTCAGGATATGCAGGCAGGCTCCGGGACATTTCCTATTTGCTGTTCTCTTACTCCTTCGTTTCCCGCAAGTGTCTGTGCCCAGCACTGCTCAGTGCAGCAGCATAGCAGCCTGAGCCTTGTGAGTCCCAGCTTGTGCCTGGAAAGCGCAGCCTACAGCCGGACAGCCAACAGGCAGCTGGTGGGAACAACACTGCCTCCCAGAAAATAGTGCATCATCTACAAAATATGCTGGTCTGCACACAGCTACCTCCTCTGATGGGCCAAGTAGGCAACAAGGATCCAACACAGCCAAGTAGATTGATCTCCATCCATCTTCTCCACTGTTACAGAGAGGGGAAGATGGATGGTACCCAGAGCTTTCCCAGCCACCGGCTCACCCTGCCCCGGGGTGCCGGTCCACAGTCCCACAAGCAAGCTCAGGAAAGCTCTGCTGACTCACCCCAAGCTCTCTGATGTTTTGCCCCACACTGGGGCAAAGTTGGTGCTGCAAAGAGCTGCATGATATGGGGAGGAAAAAATGAGTGGCAATGGAAAGACCCTGCCATCACCCTGAAACCCTCCTCCACCCCCACAACTGCCTTCCCAACTGATGCTTCAAGCCCACGCATGTGGCAAATCACACAGCTGGAGCTGGCACCTCTTATTTCACACCTACGACACATTTTTATCATGGTAAAAGTATAAAAATAGCAAAGATAATTTTTTTTTTTTATGAGGACACTCATGCTTTGTCAGCTCACGTTTTCGTCTGGAAACCCTGTGAGCAGCGAGGTGTGAGCCCCGCAGGGCAGGGGGCTTGGTGGGAGGGCAGGCTGGCGTTTGCACATCTTGCCCCGCGCCGGGTGAGCTGGCAACAAGGAGGATCAGGAACTTGTTTTTACATGAAGATCAAAACAGCACAAGAAGAAAAGCACAACATAGCCCAAAGTGACCCAGAATGTCAAAACTGCAACAACAGAAAGTTCAGCCCAAAAATGCAGCTTGTGAGGGCTGTTCTTGCTTGGCTTGTTTGTCCCCACCGTGGGTGGCAGGAGGAGGGAGAGTGTGGCTTCGGCTTGGGTCATATATTCTGTGCTCAGCTCTGCAGTCCCGTGCCTTGTCCCCTGCCATGCCAGAGATCTCTCCCTCCAGTGGATCACCCCAAGGCTTAACCTGGTCCCTTCCAGACACGCCCAGTCCCACAAACCACATCCAGGCAGCATAACACCATCCCTGCTCCCTAGCTATGCCTGGAGATAATGCAAAACGGATCCCCGCAGAGACAGAAACATGGAGTGATTCCACCAAGGACTAACTGCAGGCAAACAAACGCTTAATTTATTCCACTACAGGCTGCTCTGCTAACGAACGGGATCTGCCCCACTGTGCAGCGCTGACTGAGGCTGACAGTCCAATACAGCCCCGCAGCCACACTCAACTGTCACTGCTCCATCCATCCTGCTTTAAGCTCTAACAATTGTATATGATTAACTGGGGCTGAATTTATCATTTTGGACATCAAAATCCTGCCAGAGCACCCAAAGCAGATAGAAGAGCTCTCCATGCTCCAAGCATGGTACTGCACTATGCAGATGAGACCTCAGCATCCGTGTTCCTCTGGTCCCAGCTCTCCCTGCCAAAAGCACAAGCTGGGAGGCAAGGAGACACTTCTGCCATGTGCACAGAAATGTCTTTTTTCCAGTCCGGAAATAGTGGCGACTCCTGCAGTTTGAGCAACCAGAAATGTTCTCATTGAGCATGCTCTCAGCCAGCTTGGGCTTCTAGGAAATGATTGGTGGTGAATAATGACCATCAATCCCCTGTGGGTGAACTTCCCTCTGTCTCCACCCTCATCTCATCCAGATGCACATGCAGCAGGAAAGGCTGCTCCAGACCTCTGCAACTCAGTCTTTGTCCAACAACGCTGCTGGACATTTCTTAGGAGGTTCAGTTATTGATCTCACTACTAAGACTTCCAATAGGGAAGGAAAAGACATACAGAGCTCTTAAGCTTTTTTATCTTCCTCCAAGAACATTTCCATTAGGATTAGCAAATCTAGCCAAGCCATCTCAGATGCTCAAACTCTGCTCAGCCAAGAAGCCATTAAGGCATCCTGAGCTGATGATCTGATCCACCCTGGATTAAAACAAAACCTGAGGTTCATCTTTGCAACAATGCAGGCTAAACTAAACCAACTTCTTTAAGCACCAGCCTAGAAATACCTGTGTCCCTGAAGCCCACTGGTGTGCCATGGGCAAGAAGATCTGAGCCACCCCTCAGTGTGCGGCTCCCACCACCAGCTGGCACCACAGTCAGCACCGGCTGCTGAACCAAGAGTCTGAAGAGCAAGTGACCATGGGGCTATCCTCATGCTTGCAAGCCCAGGTCACCAACAGAGTTGCTCACTCAATCTTCCCTGAGGGAGCAGAAGGTGTACTGATACTCCAGGGACCCAGAACCCACTGTTGCCCAAACTCAACCCCTGCTCTCTGCAATATTCAACACTGAGCCCCATCATACAAACTGATGCCCCAGAATGCAATCACAACATGTCAGCAGGCATGGCTGGGAAAATACACCTCTAGTAGACGTGTATTAATATAGGTATGGATTTTGGCACCAATGCCCAGGAGCCCAGCTCCGGAAGCTTTGTGATGGTGTATGAGAACAAGGAAACCAACAGCGACACTCGTACACTTTGTTCATACCGACCTACACATTTCGGATTAAGTCCCCACACAGGGATTAAAGCATGGAGACTGCTTCCCCCTAGATTTTCTTCCAAAGACCAACCTGAGTTGCAGAGAAGACACACCAGTCATCTGCTGCCCACCCCGTTCCCCACAGGGAGCTGATCGTACCTGTACACTGGCTGCATCTCCCTGGCAATCCCAATGACTGCTCCCTCCGGGAAGTTGTCGAACTCATCAAACAAATCTCGGATGTTGGTCTTATACTTCAGGTCCAAGTCTACCTGGATGATCTGTGTTATTTCTGAAAGCAGAAAGAGGAAAAGTCAGCTATATAAGACAAAACTGTAACCGGTGATTACCAAAGGCTACTTGACAAATCATACCCAATGAGGATTTGGTGCAATCAGCCCCATGGGCAAGACTCAGCCAATTCATGGCAAACGCAATCCAGCTGCAACCTCTACATAAAGCTACCAACCTTCAACCATCATAACGGCATTTACCAATGCATATTTTAGGCATCATTTACTTCAGAAACTATTTATGGTGGCCTCCCGCTTCTTTCCATTCCCTCTTTCCTTCCAGAAGCTGGTTTTCCATACGACTGACAAAAGCAAGAGGTAGCTTCAACCCAGCTTCTTCCTTTCATGGAAGCGTTTCTGCAAGAGCAGTCAAACAAAACCCCATGCTCACCTTCTGCTACCTACTTCTAGGAAAAGCTAACAACTCCATAAGCACTTCCCGGCTCCAGCCCACAGAACATCCATCCCTAGCTTTAAGAGCAATCCCCATCATGGACAATCAATAATTCAGCCACATGACACCCTCAGTAATACCTGCACAAGCTTGTTAGCTGCCAGCAGCCTGACATGGGCTTCCCCAAGGGCAGAAATTACAGGCTGACAGTCTGCAGCAACCTGGAAAACCATTATTGATGGTGGTACTCTGTCAGAGACAAAGAGGGTCATGCAGACATAGAAGCATCTTCCACTTTCAGTGGGAAAGCTGAGAGTGAGAAGAGGCTGAAGCACATAATTATCGAGGCCATGCCAGAGCTCGTTAACCAGCTCAGGCCCCTGCCTGCACTTGTCATAGTCTCCTCTGCAGCAAGGAGACCAATTGATGGAGATGTTGCTTGGGAGAGGGTGCAGGAGATGCGCCTCATCAAGACTGCTTGTCCTGGGCTGGTGATATGGTAGAATGCAGCAAACGTAAATGCTCCGGGAGATCAGAACCTTTGGATGTGTTTCCCTGGCCCCAGTCAAAGCCATGGTCATCTTCCGGCCAGCCAAGCTCAGCCCCACTTGGGGACTGTGAATGGAGTGGAGCCATCCCCAGTAGCATTATGTAATGTCACTGCTATTTATATGTGTTATAAAAGCGAAGAGCAAATTCGTTGGGTTGCTTAGCACTTGGCATTAATTGGATTATAAAGACTGTGTCAACCTGTTTCGGCCCCACTCATCACATACAAGTGCCATTAGAGATTCCTGCAGGGTAGGTGTGCATGTCACCACTGCTTTCATGGCAACTAGTGAACCAGGCCCTCATCCTTCCTCCTGCCTAGTACTTGCAGGCAGAAGGAAGGATGAGTCCAGCCTGCCTGCATCCTCCATGGGTATGGGCAGGGCTTCCCAGCAGGCTAGTGTTTCTGGGCTCATGTCCATACTCCAGCCTTCACACCACTGTAGTTCCTCACCCTGCCACGCTTGGGACAGGCTGTTGGCTACCCCTGCTGAGGGCAGGAAGCAATTGCTCTGTTTTCAGGCCCCAAAGCCACCGTCGGGACAAGAGCAGCCAGGCACAGGCAGCTACGCTTAAGCACAGGAATGTGGCTTTGCCATTTGAAATGCGTTCGTCACTTGGTGTCTGTGTTTCAAGCAGACGCTGGGCTGCAGAGCAACTCTGAATTTTTTGCAGATCCTGCACTAATCCAGGGCTCTTGGCAATGGGTCCATGCTTTCTTCATTTAAGAAGGAAAAAGCCCCATGAGGTTAAGCAAGAAATATACTGCTTACTCTGCAAGGCATCCAAGCAGAAATATAAATCAAGGAGAAATAGTATGTAAGCTACAACTCAGGCTGTATCTCAATTTATTTTTTTAACATCCATCACTCTCTATCTGCTAAAGGGAAAGGCCACACTCCCTTCAGCTGACAGTACGGCAATCCCCAGGCCTACCTCGTATTTACCACCACGATAATCCTCTGTTTGCAAAGATTTAAAACCCAGGCGTAGTAATTCACTACAGGCTAAAGCAGGTCTTGACCTGAAAGCAATTTCCCTCAGCCTTCCTAACTGCCTTAGAAATCGCTAGCACAGCTCAAGCAGATGAATAGGCAGACTGGAGGATTTCTGCAACAGGGAATGAGACATTTATCCCAAATACCCCAAACCTCCTCAGTGGTCCATACCACGGCAGTGCAAAACCCCCAAATCCTTAACACTGTTGCACTTGAGAATATCCAGACTGGTCACAAAACTCCAGGTTGAGGAGATCCCGGACCTACAGCACAAGCTTAGCCCAAGAGAAGCAGGGCACTGCTGAGGATGGGGAGAGGGAATGGGCTCCCCAGGGGATCATAGCACAACTCACCCCGGTGCACAGCAGCCTTCTGACACCTCATCAGGTTTCAATTAAATCAACTGTGAGGCACGTCATCCAATTGTTCTCTAAAATTACAGACAAGCATTAACTGCAATTAATCACAGCAGAGAATGAAAGCTGAGCTTGGGGAAAGCTCCAATCCCAGTCCTGCCTGCCCCAGCAGCCCTGTGGGTAACAGACTCTGGAGGGTCCCTGTGCAACCCGGGGGGTGCTGCCCAGCAGCAGCAGCAACCAGATGCCCCCAAAAGCCTCGGCTGCAGTGCGGAGCAGAGCACGAGCACAGCTGCAGCGCCAGGCAGTGATGCCAGTGCCACAACAAGCCCAGCATAGATATACACGGTTTATTTACACAAACATGCTGGGTTCTCCATCCTGCCCTTCGTTAGAGGCTCCCTGTGGTTGGCTCACCCCCACTGTGCACTGGTCCCATGTTGTGCTAGCAGAGCCCCTCACGAAAAACTCATTAACAAATTAGACTCAGAGAGCACAAAGTACTTTTCCTTTTCTTTTTAAGTAAGCATGAACTGCAACACTGAGACAAAAATGAGCACGAGTGACGTTAAGATCCACTTTGCCAGATTCAGCTTGCACAGACAGATTAATGGCCAAGATGGTTTCTCTGCCTGGGACTGGCAAGGGGCCAGGCACTAATATTTATGATGTATCGTGCTCTTCACCCTTTTACCAAGCGCTTTGTCCTGGCTGCCATGTAGGGGTGGAGGAACTGCATGCTCTCTTAGACACAAACTGCTTGGAGAGGTCCAGCTGGAAATGTGGTAAAAGGCTGAGAGTTTTGCTAAGCAAGCGAGTTTTCTACCTTTGCCATACTGTATATTACCCTCTGCTCCCTTCAACTCTGGCTCTTCCAGCCAACAGTGTATAAAGGGGAGTTATGCCAGTCAAAGCAGAGGTGATCTCCATTAGCAGTGACAGCTTTACGGCACAGGCTGGCCCCATTTAAAACTCGTAATGTTTTATTGCAGCCTCGTACCAGCAGCCACAGCAGGGCTGCTCTGCGTGCTTGGCTCAAGCCCTCTCTCCAGCCATGTCCAGAGAAAGACCAGCTTCAGAGATGTGGAGCCCGCAGCAGGGTCTGTGATGCTGGAAACAAGGAGAGAAAGGCACCACCGGTGCCCAAGCTGCCTTGCACCAGGACTCAGCTGCTGGCAGGCACTCCAGGTGTGTGCCGGTGGGCTCGGTGGGTTGTCTGGATGCTCTGAGCAGCACCCAGGTGACCCTCAGGTGGGAGCAGCTTCTGGAGCTAGTCTGATGGCCCTTTCCAGGAGGCACCGACCCCATGCCATGCCCCATGGCACAGTGGGGACAGAGCAGGAGGGGAGCAGGTGGGCGTGTAGCGAGCCAGACCACCCCACCAACACGTGGCATGACCCTTCAGAACAAACTGCACTTCTCAGAAGAGTCAGGCAGGAGTTGAAGCAGGGGAGCACAGGGAGGAGGAGTGCTGCTGTGGCTGTGCCAGCCAGAGCTCTGGGGACACTGTGTACTGAGCAGCAGATGTTACCCCTCCAGCCCTTCCTGACCTGCAGCCTTGAGCCTGACTGTAGGCTAGGACTACTTTCCCCTAGATTGAGTTGAGGGAATGGCCTGCAAGAGATTTAAATAGTGGATTTGAAACTACAGGAAAGTGAATGGATGATGGATGGAGGGTCAGGAGAAGAGGAAATGCAAAGGCAAGAGCCTGAACAGAGCCTGAGAGAAACTGTCAAGCACATAAGCCTGTGGGCACAACTCCCTTGGCTGCTCTGGGAACATCAGCTGCCAGCTAGAAACCTGATGGGAGCAAAGGAGATGCCCTTCTCAGCTCTTTGCCATGTTCTGCTCCAGCACCTTTGCCACCAGTGAGTTGTTGCCTCCTCAGTGCTGCAGACAGCCAGGGCAGAGGCAGGCAGCAGCAGCAGTGTTCACCCCCCATGGCATGGACAATGCTGCTGCCCTCCATGAACAGTTCCACAGGTCACCTAGTGATGGCCAAAACTAGTCTCTGGAGTAAAACATATGATTTGAGAGGCACCTACACGATCTACAAACCTCCTGGACACCGGATGTAGGTGTGGGAAGCCCAAGGCAGAAGAGCAAGACCCCGCAGCCCTGCAGCCTGGCCTCTGCAGGCAGCACAGGCTATTCTGCAGGCAAACTCATTCACACTCATCCCAACAACTTTCTCTGTATGAGGATTGCTACCCTGGCAAATCCAAGCCCAAACAGCAGGCACAGGGCTGGGATGTCAGCGCTGGCCTCAGCTCCCAACCCTCTTCTTCCATACAAACCATGCCAGACAGGGACAGAGGCATGCCACCACCAAGCAGCCACCATCGCTCTGTGGAGAGGGGAAAAGAGTGAAAATAGTAACTTGTGTTCAGGAACAAATAGCAAAATGGAGAGTGGCCATCACAACACAAAGGGCAAAAGCTGTCCTGCAAATGGCATGGTCTTAATCGCTGCTAACTGAGCAGTGGTTTAACAGCTTTAGACCAGAAGCAGCAAGAACTGAAACCTCCCGGAGGTGGTGTAGCTCTCCAGCCCACTGACAGACTTGCGTTGGCACAAGCTCAACTCTCTCTCGAGAGTATAAAATCCTGCCTGCAGCTCGTCTGGCAGTGGAGACCCTGCAGGGATCAGTGGGATGGCAGAAGCGGACAGGCCACCACCCAGCCAGGCTGCACTGTGCCCAC